ATTTCCCTTATTGTTGACCAACGTACTTGTACAAGGTGCTATAACTACAAATAGTTTTAAATTGGAAATATGAAAAGAAATTATATTTCTCAAATAAGCAAATGATTTATTTCTTTATCTGTATTTTTCCAGGAAGCAGCACTCTGGCGAGAGGTGAATTTATACAGTAAACAGCGATAGTGTCGAGGCCACTGCGATAATTGCAATAAGGCATATTCACTTAATGGAACGGCAATCGCATCTGTCCTTCCAACATTTTTGCAGTTTGAAAGCATTACAACATGAACGGCTTTTACTAGTGTCAATAACTCTTCACGGCTGTCATCTTCCGTTATCTTCTCTACCGTACAACTGCAGTTAGATTTGCCTTGAGTTCATATCACCGCTAACGTAAAAGCTAATCAATTCTTAGAAAAAGGCAAGGGCAAACTTTTTCCGTACATCTAGAAAAAAACCATTTCCACAATTGTTACCAAACGTGGGCGAAAAAAGGTTATCAGGGAGAAGAGAATAAAAAGTACAAATAAAAAAGTGCCTTCCGACTTCGTTTTTTTTTAAATGGTGTCTGTTTAGATTTGAAGGCATAATTACCCCTTAGCCAATCCCATCAAGTACTCGTTCTGATGTTTTAGCTTGTATAAGGGAACGACTGCTTTAGCCATTATTTGACTTACGAGATAACCACAAGAACTGACGAAAATCATCAGAGCATTAATGCTTATGACTACCAACTGAGCTACTATTTGAGCAACTTGATGTTTTACCTGTAACTCTGGTCCAAACTTGGTGAGCTTCATAACAAAGAATTCCACAGCCTCTTTCTCGTAGTCCCGGTTTCGAGACGCGGATTGTAGAAGGGGATTGTTTTTGGCTGTGATGTCACCAAATCCATTCAGTATCACCTAAATGGCAACCAATGAGTCCAGTATAAAACTTGAAGACGAAAGGAAAATAGTACCTGGTCTCCCTCAAGGGTAAAGAGGGATGGATGCTGCTGGAGGAATTCGGTTAGCCCCTCTTGTGTGGTGCCGACCGCGTTTCGCATCTCTTCCGAAAACCTAGGAAATAACATGGACTCCGTAAATGGAAAGATAATTTATCTGCTCAATCTCCATCTATAGTTTCCCTAATCTTTGGAATTAGCTTACCCGCGTGCACCAAACTGGCAGCTCAAGTCATGTATAGTTCGCCGGCCATTCTTCTGCATCAAATGATCCATAAAGAACAGCAACGCCATATTTTTTGCCTCCTCCATTTTGGCTTACCTTAGAAAATAAACAGCTGTGAGAAACTTGTGATAGAAGTGAACAACAATAAACGAA